AATAGGCCACACCTTTCAGTACATAATTAAACTGAAAATGCTACATGTAAATTTCTCCCTTTGGTTGTTGCACCTTTTTTTCCCAAAGAGAAAAAAGGATGTCTCATTTATGGAGCAGATTTCTATTACTGTAAGAAAAAATATCTGCTCTTATAAACCTTTTAGAAAGACTTCTGTGCAAACGACAAGTGGAAAACACAGCCCTGATAGTGTCACAGGAGAAAGTATCCACTAGTTGTTAATGAGAATATGGTATTGTAAGAGTGTTTGACTGCAGAAACACCCCCAAGGTGGTGCAGAAAGTCAGAGAGACTTTTCAAACATCTGACAATCCTAGGTAGCACTCCGCTGAGGGCTGCAGATGACATGTATGGGACAGATGGACAGAGACAAACACAGTGGAAGTGCTGGTATTTAAGGACAAATAGGAGGAAACAATCACTGGCGCGCAGACAGCTCATATTCGCCCGTCCTCACAAACCTTTAATTACACTGGCATTCTGTCCGTCATGCTGCAGACACATTCATTCCTGCGTCATCGTGCCAGAAAGGAGGAGAACATCACCATGCTACTGTGGAGTCACAGCACCCTGAAATGCAGTCCTACTGAGTGCAACAACATGGCTGCATCATTCTCAGAGACAAATCTGCATAGAAGCTACAGTGACTGGACACACGCTGTAATTATGAGACCTTTCACTTTGCGCAAAAGTGCGGGTGAGCTTTTTATGTTGTAGTCCTTACAGAACAAAAGGTCACTGTAATTTTTCCTGTTTCCACATATTCTCAACCACTAAAAGGTTTTTGGTCTTTGTTAGTGGAGGAGAGCTAGAGTATTGATTGGGAGTTGTGGTGCGATTTCAAACCTCAGCAATGAATACAGAGGGGAATTTTTCTTTGTGAGTGCTTATTTTATGCTCTTAGCAGAGGGATGTAATAAACAATAAGCCGAGACAACAAGACGTTATGATGTTTTATGGGTAAAATGACTCCTAAAATGTAAAGCCCTGAAGAAATGAACCATTTTCTCTGGTACACAGTAATTATCCCCCATTGGCTCGACAATAACTGTAATGTTCAAATTTCTGTTATTTCCTCTCATGCATTTAAACTGACAGACGTAATGTGAGAAGAATTTGAAGCACCGTCTAAATGGAGTTTCACAGCAGTGCTGACAGTGAATAAATTAACAAAGCTAAATGATGTGATCATCCCTTTTGGGTTTCTAACCTTTGGCACAAAACAGAGCCAGTGAGCCTTGCCTGGATACATGAGACAACAGGACTAAGTTTAGTTGAGATGTTTAGTGTCTGAATTATTCACAAGGGAGACCACTCATCCCTGACCACAGTACTCACAGGTTCCTTCTGGTATTATCAGGCACAGACACATGGCGCTCATCCAAATCCCAGTGAACAGAACACTGACAAGGCACTCCCACAGCACTATGCATCTCCATTGGTAGGTATCATTAACAGTCTTTGGCATGGGCGGTAATGATGACTTAAAAATAAATCTCCTTTAAGACTGAGGTCAATATGAAATCAGGCGATTACAAATACCAGAAATACTGTGTAAAACTAAAAAATGAGAAATTGAAGCCTCTATAAATATGAGTTGTAAACATGTCAAATAAGTATTTAACAACAGTAGTAAAATAGTTTGAGGAAAAAATCATTTGTATTCAACACGCTCTTGAAGCCATAAGAAAAGCAACAGATAGATTTCCCCTCAGGGACAAATTGAAAGTGAAACTAAATGCTACATATATAAATCGAAGGTTGAGCTGTCACATCTCTATTCTATGACCCAAACATGCAGCCAAAACACTGCAGCAGAATGTCATTTCTCCAGCATTTTATTTTGCCTGGAGCTGAAAACTTACTGTCTATTAATCCGTGTTTCTAATCATACATGTCACAGGGAATCAATACCCGCAGCGCTCACAGAACATTAGGCCTAAAAGGCTGCTCCAAGGCCTCTGTGATCCATAGCCTCTGAATGTTGTCTGTGTGCCGCCGTTAAGAGCACAACAGTCTGCCCTGAGGAAACATGCACAAAAAAGCCTCCCCAGAGACACATCAATTACATCAATGCCAAGAAAATGCTTGTGGAGGATGAGTGGCCAGGGTTACCAGTGTTGTGGCTGGTGTTGCTCTGCTCAGCAGCCTCCAGGTTTGTGGCATTTCTCTTGCTCTAATGATGTCCATGCACAAGGACATTTTAAAAAGCAACATGTAAGAAAGATAGAAAACGCTGAGAGGCACTCACAAACTTCAGAAAGCCTTGTTCAGCAAGGCTAGGCTGTAACATAAAAATCGCATGGCAATACAATACGAACACACCAAGCAGCCATAACATTATGACCACTGACAGTGAATAACACTGATTATCTCGTTACAGTGGCACCGGTCAGTGTGTGAGGTTCATTAAGCAGCAAGTGAACATTCGATCCTTGAAGTTAATATGTTGCAATCAGGAAAAACGGGCAAGCATAAAGATCTAAGTGACTTTAACAAGAGCCAAGTTGTGATGGCTAAACAACTGGGTCCGAGCATCCCCCAAACTGTTGGGGTGGTCCAATCTGCGGGGGTCCAAGGAAGGTCAAACTGTGAACCGGTGACAGGGTCATAGACGATGAGGTTGAGCTACTCTAGATTAA